TTAAATATACAGATATTTCGATAAAATGCGGCACAACTAAGTTTTATAGAAGTCTGGATGACCCTGCCAAATTTCATAAAGATCGGGCCCAAGATTTGACCCTAGCTCCCATACAAAGTCCCCTTCAGAAAATTACTTGAATGTCCCAAATTAACTTATAAACACAAATATCGCGATGAAATTTAGCACAATAAAATATTATGTAAATATAAATATATTCACAAAATTTTATCGGGCTTGGTCCATATTTGCCCCTAGCCCCCATATAAAGCCTCTTTCAGAAAATTAGTTTTTCATCCATAAATTGCTTAAATGTATCGGAACAAGGGAATATTGAAGATAAATGCTTTATTATGAAAAATAAATCACATTTAATATTCATAACTGGTGTAGGGTATCATATGGTCGGCCACGCCCGACTATACTTTCTTACTTGTTTTTAAGAAATTTTTGTCTTGGGGGGGTCAATATTTATTGAGCTAAGTCAATAGATAAAAAATAGTTTATCCAAAGGAATGATATGGAATTTAGACATCATATGAAAGGTCTTTGAGAGTTGCTTGCAATCGCTTTTAAATTCTGGAAAAAATCATGAGAACCTCAAAGAAGAACATGTTTATTCCTTGATCCAACTTAAGAAATATTTACGTCAGAACAATAAATTTTAGAAAATCATAGAATAAACTTCCATTTTGGAGTCATCCTAATGTAAAAAAAAACACAAAAGTTTTACGTTAAGATCAATCATTGACATGCCTATAAGAGTGTAAAATGCGGAGAGAAAAACCTCTAACGATCAAAAGATACAAGTACATACATATATACATATGTACAAATTTTTCTTTGCATACCGTTCTATGCAGTTTGCATATTAATTTTTTTTAAATAAAATATACAAATCTTTATAGTTGCATTATGAAATCTAAATTCCAGATTACCGATAATCTTTATAACAAATAAATATGAATTTAAAAATGTTTATGGCAAGAATAATGTAAAAATTTATTAAGTTAAAAATAAATGTATTTATTATTGAAAATGAAAAAATAAATAATTTATCACAATTTTCAAAAAATATTAATAGGCCGTTTTCGGGTAAGACATTATAAAAAATGTACATATTTTAATAATATTATAAATTTTACATATGCATACCCTTTACTTTTAATAAAATTTATGCACTCGCTAATGCATTTGATAGCTCTCTCCCCCTTTTTTTGGTTTTGTTATACAATTTTTATTGTAACACAATATTAAAAAGTTTATTAAAAACTGTTTCATTTATCCACTTAAAATATCTTTAAACAATTATTTTTTTTTTTCATATGATCCGATTGTGTGGCATTTTCAGTTCATTAAATCGATTTCTTAACTACTTGATTGTTTTCAATATATCAATAATTTTTAAATGCTCCATTCATAATACATACTTACAATATTTCATAAAAAAGCCACTGTATAGAGTTGATTGTTCTTTACGTAGAAATTGTTAAATAATTTCATTGTCGGTGGTCGAAATCGAAAACTTTATTCATGATCAAAAAACAGTGGTGTAGATTAGGGAGTTTATCAAGATTATTTTTCAAATTTCAATATAGGCAAGACATACATATTTCGGTAAAATTTTTTTGTTCTAATGTAAAGAATTCGGTCTTCCAACTATAGCATTTTTAATGCCACCTTGCCACGCCCACTTAGACCAATATTATATTTGAGCAATATTATTCTATATAACTGCGGTATTGATGGCGTCTGTATGAATGTCGTTCAAAGCTGCTGTATAGGAACTCCGATCCAAGGGATCCTGCACATATCTTCGTATGCTCTCCTCGTACACACAAAGGTCCTTCCTGACATGCCTCGGGGGAGAAGATGTAGAAGTTGGGATGACTCCTTCGGTGACATCCCAGGAGGAACTGTTTAGTCAGCATGACATTATGTTCCTTGACAGGAAGGACTTTCGTTTTCTCGTGTAGGTGGTGCTCCGAGGTTATTTACATGCAGGCCGTTATAGTCCGTAGGGCGGCAGCATTTTGAGAGCCTTGAATATTTCTCCAATGGGTATCACTCAGCGAAGGAGACCATACTGAAGCAGCATTATTGACCACTGACCGGCCAATTGTTTTATAGGTAGCCAACAAGGTTTCTTTGTCCATTCCCCAAGTGCTGCCGGCTAGCGCTTTGAGGACCTTGTTTCTACTTCGCAATCTTTGCGTAATTGCAGTGGCATGAGCTGAGGAGGTAAACAGGCTGTCAAAGGTGACCCCCAAAATCTTTGGGTAGTTCACAGACGGTATTTGGGATCCATCGACTAAGACGCCTAAATTCCTTCGTCCAGGTGGTGCAAAGTGTTGCTGAAGACTTCGTTGGTGATAGTTTCAGGTTACGTCCAGTGAAGAAGTTGTGTATTTTTCCGAGATAACCAATCACTCGATCGCATAACTCATCAACGTTTTGGCCCGTCGCCATAATGGTACAGTCGTCCGCATAAGATAGAACTTCCACACCTTGTGAAGGTGTGGGGAGTTTAGAGAGGTAGAAGTCAAACAGTAGGGGGGGTAGGATACCGCCCTGTGGTACACCCTGTTTAACTCTACAGGTTTTGGAACACTTGTCTCTAAACTCTACGAACGACTGATGGCCATTCAGATAATTCACAATCCATCTCTTCAAGTTGTTGGGCATGTTGTAGTAACAACTACTACAAAAGTTTGTCATTCCCAACAAAGTATATAGTATATTTCGGGCTGAGCCAATTAAGCTATGTCCTTCTGTTTGTCTGCCTAAAATACGCTCACGTTAAAACTAAGTAAAATAAATCAAGCAGTTTGGTATTGAAAATCAGCAAAATCGGTTCACGACGTAAAAAATTATGAATAAAAATGTCAGATTACCTGTAAAAATATTACTGTATTTTCCTAATTATTGAGCATATTAGGTATTTGATAAAATTTGTCACATGTCTAGAGTTCAATTACAATCACAACAATAGATCCAAAGTTTCCCATAGCCCCCATACTAAGGTACATATTCTCGTTGGATTTATAGTTAATAACTTCCTCAAATATATCGGCATCATCACAAAATTTTGCAGATATGTTACATATGTATATAATATGAACAGATATCATATTACTAACGTAAATCAATATTGGTCCACAATTGGTCATAACTCCCATATACCGAAAATCACTTAAATGCTCATTAGAACATATTACGAAATAAGGATACAGGAATAATATTCGACATAAATATCAATGTTACTTTATCGGCATTATAACTATATAGCAATTTCGTATCAACTGACCCAACGCACAAAAAAACGATTTGGATGAAATTTTCACCAAGATTAGTACTATTGTAGGCCAGACACAAATTCTTAGCTCTATCGGTCAAGAACTGTCGGAGTTAGAGGGGTTCAAAGTTGGACATTTTGGTAACATGGAGTCATAAACTCCATGGATCTCAAAGAGTCCATCTATACAAAAAAGGTATTCGAAATAGCCCAGAGTTTAAACCACAATTTAACCCAATACAATTTAATCTTTAAATTAAGATTACAATTAAAAAATAAAATATATTTTCTATTATTACAAAACTGCAATTGCTTTATAATTACAAAAAAGAAAACACATTTGTTTTTCTTAATACTTTTTTTTATTTTTTATTTATTTTATTAATATTTTTAATATGTATAATATTTTTTTTCTGTTTGTTTTTAAATTAAAATTGTTGGGTTTTTTATACATTTTTAATGATTTTTATTTAGTTTTTCTTGTTTTTACTTGTTTAGATAGAGAGTAAAGGAAAATACATGTATTTTTTTTTGTTGGTTGATGATAAATTCTTCTGCAAATATTATTTTTTATGTTTTTGCGATTCCTTTTGTTTATTATTTTTTTTTTAAATACATTATTATTAATTTAATATTTTTATAATAATTATAAAGAATTGTGGTTTGTTTTCTTTTAGTTTTGTTTTATAATAATACAATGATTTTTGTTTAAGATAAGATAGTGAAGAGAGAGTGAGTAAGTAAATAGGAAAAATTTGTTTATAACTAAAAGAAATAAAAAAGAGCAAAAAAGATACAAAATAAAACAATTACAATTAAATATAATTATGTATATATGTATAAAGAAATAATTATTTAATTAAAACTAAAGTTATGTTATGTAAACGGAAGAACGGTTAATATAATTAGAAATGAAAATATGTATATTGTGGGTATATAAATTTATAATTATAAAAAATAATAAAGAAAATAAAAATAAAATTAATCACTTTGTGTTAAAAATAAAAAAAACTGAAATTAAATTAAAAAAACTTGAGAAAATTAAATTTTCCAATTTTACATAAAAAAAATAAAATAATAACAAAGTAAAATAATAAAGTGTTCAATAATAAAATACAAATTTATAAATATTTTATAAGACTGTTGTTAAACTAACCAAAAACAAAAAAATCAATAAAGAGCATGATTTCTATATAGTTTTTTTAGTTTTTGTATTTGTACTTAATTAATAAAGTACGAATTTACTATTTCTTGTAAGATGTTTTACTTTTTTTGTTTTCGAAGGCATTTTCTCTATAAATTGTTTATAAATTTATTGGTATTTCTTGGTTCTATATATAAAAATCAATCATATCGTTTAAACGATAATTGTTTGATAAGTTTGAGAAAAAACAAAAAATGATTATGTTCTTTGTTTATTTCGGGGACGCAGGAAAAGAGGACATAACGAAATTATACCTCACTAAAAGATCATAAAAATGTCTCTTCTTTTTCTTGTTGTTTTCATGGTAATTTTTAATTATATATTTTTTAATATCTTTTTATTTAGTTTTACTTTTTATATTTTGTTTAATTTTTAAGCAAATATGGGGGGAATTGCTTTATTTCAATATGACTTGAGCTTGTTTGGAAAATACTAAATTTGTATTGTATTTTAGCATTTAAATAATTAGATGCATTTTTGTTTTATTTCGTATATGTATAATATATAGATTATTACTTTACAAATATGATACCATTTTAATAATGTATTATTTTTTTAATTTTTTTTTTTTTTTCTTTAAATATATGTATACTATTTTATATTGCAACAAAAAACATTTACAAAGCTTTTACTTTTCACCTTTTTTTCCTTACTTAAAATATAAATTTATAAGTTATTTTTTTATTTTATAGAAAAATAAAAAAAAATAATCTTTTCTTTTTTTCTGTTTGTTAATAAATCAGAAGAAGTCTTGTTTTTGTTATTCTTTTTTGTTTTTTCTCTGAGCCCTAGTTCAAAATCATTATAATCATAATGAATAAAATTCAACTAAATTAAACTTCTGATTTTTTCTATAATATCACTGGAGAGAACTTAAGATGTTGAAAAAAACATAATCAACTGGTCTGGGGGGTACGTACTAGGGTACACAAAGTTTAGGAATATTTTGCTTGAGGCTAATCTTGTGTGTTTAAGGGCAGGATTTTTAAACTAATTTACAAATAGCAAAATATTTCTGATTGGGGGGGGGGGAAGAGGAGGAGTTCTCTGTTTGAATGTCTTCTTTGCAGCCTATAAATAATTTATAAATAGTTTACAATTTGTTTCTGTTAATACTTATAAATTTAATTCTATAAGCATGTTTGTTTTTAATCCTTTTTGTGAGTAATTATATATAGAATTGCTTAACTAATATATAAACTCTAGTGCATGATGAAGAGGAATCCATGTTAAAAAAAAAAAGAAAACACAGGAGGGGAATGTGTTTACTTTTTTTTTTTCATTTACTGCTTTAACAATCTTTCAAATTTATCGCACTCTGGGAATTGTTCTAAAAAGATGGAATGATAAAAAAGGGATTAATAAATAAAAATATTCTTAAAATTATCAACCCACCTGGGTGATTGGACTCGTTTCTTTGGAGTATTTGGTGCAGTTACTGCCACCCTACTATTAGGTGTACGAGCTCTTGTTGTAGTACCTGCCGATGATGTTGGTGTTGTTATTGGTGACGGTGTTGCTGCAGCAGCTGCTGTCATACTATAACGTTTCGGTGGCTGTATACGACTTGGTGATCTTGTTGTTTTTGAGGGATCTGCTTGATTTGTTATTCTAGCAAGTTGTGGAGAGATAGCACATGAAGGTGGTTTAGGTATTTTTGTATTATTTGCAATGTTATTAATTTTATGAGGGGATTCAATCGGTGTTGTAGATGTTCTTGGAATTTTACTTTTATCAGTTCTTCTACGAGAGTATTGTGTTGTGTGTATGTTTTATATGTATAGAGGTGTTTTGATATATAAAATCATGCATAAATAAAACCATGATTATAAACATAAGAGGGGGAGGTATAATCAAATTAAAACCCAAAATAAAATTTTGATGATAGTTAAGCAGGAGGGGAGAGTGCAGGTAATATATATATAAAGAAATAAATAAAAAAAAAACAAAACAAATAATTTTGATGAGAACATAAACAAAGATTATTAAATAGAAAAAACAAAATCACAAAATTGTTACAAAACAGTTAACTATTTAAATAATAATGTATTTTGAATCCCATTATTAATAGTAAAAGTTAAACTACATACATACTTATAAACCAATAATAAAGTACATAAAGTATTACGGTAAGTACCAGGTAAGTGTTACTATTTTTCTGATAGGTGTTATCATGTACAACAAGAATCTGTCAAACACCATCAAAATCTTGAAATATAGGTAAAAACGTATTTTCGTACCTCTAAGCACTTATAAGTCGAGTATTCCCCATATAAAATATCTTTCAGAAAATCAGTTATTGAACAATTAAGAAAAAGATTAATAACAGTCAATTGTACGGTTTTCCAAAGACAAAGTTCCGTTTTACTTACGATTTGTCATAATTTTCTGATATATTAATAAACAGTAAGATTCTTTAAGAATATACTGTATAAAAACATCTTCAAATTTAGACAACAAATTCTCCAGGTTACAAGAACTCGGCTTCTTCTTTTTTCTAAATCCATTGAAAAACTGAAAATTGGTTGATACTACCCTTAAATTTCTATATAGTTACGATTTTCTAAGTATTTAGAAAATGTAAAAAACTGATTCTTCTTATACTCGAAGACACCTTGCAGGAAAAAATTGTAACACTTCCCAGGTATATATTTTTGTCACATACTATTATTAATATTAAATTAATTAAGTTACTTACTTTCCAGCGGGATAGCTAACTGGACGAGGTATGCGTGACTTTTGAGCCGCAGCGGCAGCAGCAGCATTAGCAGCAGCTAGTGCTGAGGTAGGAGTAGAACCACCACTCTTTGTTTGTTCCGCTTGTGCCAGTTCCTTAAGCATACTCGAATCTTTGCTCATTAATTCCCATTGAATTTGTAAACGTTTAAAGCGATTACTTTCCAATTTTTGTTTTTCCAATTCATCACGCTTCGAACAACGCCTGGTAGCAACAGGAGGTGCAATTGCTCCGGCAGCAGTAGCTGTTTGCCGTAATGTTGTATTATTAGTAGTGGTAGCAGCTGTGGCGTTGGTAGCCATTGAAATATTTGGTGAATTTGGTGGTGTTGAAAACCTTTGCCGAGTTTCTGTAGGCAAGTGGACCAAATTGTTTTGTGTGCTGTCGGCCTCTTCTTTGTCATTAAACGACACCTTTTTCTGTTGGCTCAATGCTCGTGAAACTTCCTTCTTCAATGCAGCCGCATCATACTGAACTTGTTGTTCGGAAGACTCTAATATTGAAGCTATTTCGGCGTAATATTTCAATTCATTGCGTGGCAAAGAAGACAAGAAGTTTTCGGCCCTAGCCCTGGCATCCAAATCCTTACGTGATAATCTCTCTGTACGTGGTTGTGGCGTTGCGTATATTTCGGCACCTGAGGGTTCCTCTTCGAATACCTCAGCCAATTCTTCGGCCGAGCCAATGTGATAATTGTATGGTGGCTCTTGGAGTGATCGCCGTTTTTCTAATTTTGTTAATTTAGCATCTTGCTCAATCATCGAGTTGCGTTTGCTTCTCACAGCCGAAGAACTCTTGCGCAATATACCCCTTGGCATGGGTATGGGTGTAGACTGCACTTTGGGACTCATTTCTACACCCGAATCCATGCGCTGTTGTTCGTATTGATAAACATACATCTGTTTAAGATTATCACCGCCTCCAGTGGCGTTATTATTGGCATTTTCAAATTCCGAATCGGTAAGCAACGTAGAAGAGCCTCTGTAACCAGACGAAGGTTGTTGACTAGATCCTGAACTTGAAGATCCACCTGCGGCTTCTGTCTGTTGCTCACCGCGTTGGAAATATTGATTGCAGTCGCAAATATGTGAGCGATTACGTCTCACTGGAGGCGTTAAACAGAAGAGAGGTTTTTGTGCCAGTTCTCTTTCTAAATGACTGAGAATGCCATTTACTTCTGGAATGTGTTTTAATCTACGTCTATAGTCACCAGGCAATAAAGTCGCCAATGAATGCCAATCTACCACATGTTTGTAATCCATAGTCTTTAGAATTTCGTCTTCATCGCTGCCCGACATTAGACTGAAACGTTTCTTGATAGATGCACATGATGAAGCTGTCGAGGCGTTACCACCCATATTCATTTTATAGTTGAATGGAGAGAAGATAACATCTGGCGTAGCTGAGGTCTTTACAAAGCCCAAATCGGGTAACGCATAGTTGGGATAGATGACGTAGATGGGTGCTTGATTTTCTTCGCCCAAATTGTTGAGTTTTTCCAGAAATGAGGGTGGCACAAAACGGAATCGATCACTTAAACTGCTACGGGTACTTAAGGAACCACAGGATGTTTGCATAGATCTGGTAATCATCTCGGAAGATGAAGCATTTGAAATGGGTCGGGACGCATCACGAGATCTTCTTTGCTTATTACGTTCTGCCGCCTTGGCCGAGGAGGAAGAGGACTCCTGTCCGCCAGATAGCTGCACCTGGGTCAATTGTTCAGAGGTATTATCCGAGGATAAGAGACTAGCTGATGAATTGTTATTGCCATTTAGCTGCAGAGCCAATTGATTTAATGCGGGATTACGTAAAGGCATACTTCTACGTCTATGGGCTGGAGAATTAGTGGCGGTCAATGAACCCGTCGAACTTGAACTGGGATCTTCCTCGTAGAACACCGAAGAACGTCCTGGGTGTTGCTTTTTGGGTGTAGAAGCCGAAGCATCCATTTGGAATGTGGATGTTGTAGTATCAGCTTCTTCGTCATGTCTACTTAAAGCTGAACCTTTGCCCGAATCATTCATACTCTTCTTCCTCAAGCGTTGCTCCAACGACGAACTCGAACTTGAGTTGTTGGCATCACTTGAAGGCCAGCAACCCGAGGAAATATCCATACAAGTATGAGCACTCGGCTGATCTTCGAGAGAACAATTTGTGCTCTTCTGTTTGATAAACAATTTGACTAGATTAAAAGCTGGTGGATTCGAAGAACCCGATGAAGTGGAGCCCGTAATATGATGACCCTTATTTGAATGATGAGAAGTGATTGTAGCTGAACCATTATTACTGCCCATTGAGGCATTCGAATGGTTACTTAAGTTGCTACCAATTGCTCCAACACCACCGCTAACACCACTACCACAACAACATCTATGCTTTGGCTGTCGGGTGTGACATTGCTGCTGTTGCTGCTGCTGTTGTTGTAGGCTAAAAACATTCAATCTTTCCTCAATCGAAGCCGCTGTGGAATTACATGATATTGGTATCTGGCACATGGGTAATAAATTGCGCGATTTAGTTTGTTGCAAATTTTGTTCTATATGTGACGTGGTTATCGCTGTTGATACATTCAACGGTTGCTGATTATGCTTCTGTTGCTGCTGCTGCTGTTTTTGTGGCGTTTGTTGCTGAGTTTGACTTAAGTTAATTTGCTCTAGTGTTTCGTCTCGCAAATTTGGCAAACTACTACATTTACGTACACAACCTGTGCTCAGATGAATGGGTGGACGTATAATTGTGATAGTTTCTGGAGTATTGTTGTTATTACCCGATGGATATCTACGCGCAGGAGAAGAAATTAAAGCATATAAACTGTGTTTTTATGCATGATCAAGTCCATAAACATACACACATATTTATAAACATACATAAATGTTTAGAATGGGGTTTTTGGGTGTTTGTTTGTGTGTTATGTGTTGAAAAAAAGGGAAGAAAAATATATAAATTAAATTTTTTTTTGGGGAAAATTATAAAACGGAAATATGTTAAGTTGTAAACAAAGAAATAAGAAATTAGTTACATATTTATATAAATAGCTTTTTTCATATAAAAAATGTTTGCTATATCTCATTTTTATGAAAATGAAACAACCCCTAATTGGGACATTATTTAAGATAGACCTTTTTGAATACATATTGTCTCTCGATATACAATTTATAACAAATTTAAAAATCTGTGCTTTCGCTGTAAAAGAAACATTGTGCTGTAACCTAATTAAAACAATTTTTAAATTGAATATGTTTTCTAAAATAAATTCTTATAAAATTAAGCTAAACTGAAATATATGTACAAATAAATCCATAAATGTTCATAAAAACTTAAATGGTCGCTCGTTTACAGTTGATCCTCAACGTCATACACATCAAATTTAATAAATTTAAATTAAAGACAATTGAAATGACCTCATAGAAATTGCACAAATGTAAGAAAAAAAAATAAACTGAAATACCAAAAATTAAAACAATATTCATGTTTATCATATAAAATATTTAAACGATAAAACGTTAAACGGAAATTGACTTGAATTGCTATAAAACAGTAGGACAGACCAACCAAACCGACAGTTATACGAAAACAGCACGAAACTGAATCATAAATTTGATGTGCAAATAAAAGAAGAAATAAATATGTACATTAGGGTGGTCCAAAATGAAAGTTGCTGATGTTTACCTCGAAAATTACAATTTTGTTCCATCTCTAATTAGTGTTTATTTTCATTTTTTATACCCTTCACCTTCGTGAGAAGGGTATATATAAGTTTGTCATTCCGTTTGTAATTTCTATAATATAATTTTCCGACCCTATAAAGTATATATATTCTGGATCCTTATAGATAGCGGAGTCGATTAAGCCATGTCCGTCTGTCTGTATGTCCGTCTGTCTGTATGTCCGTCTGTCTGTCTGTCTGTTAAAATCAGTTTTTAGAGGACCCCAGATATCGGCGAGATCCGAATCTTCAATAATTGTGTTAGACATGCTTTCGAGAAGATCGCTATTTAAAATCAGCAAAATCGGTCCATAAATGACGGAGATATAAGCAAAAATCCGAGACAACCTCTGAAAATTTCAATAAAAAAGACAATTTTTTCATGCTTTGATTAATAAGCAGCAACAACACTGCTTATTCATTGAGTATTTCGTTTCACATGTTTGGATGGCTGTGTGTTTCATTGACATGTGTATATTGTTTTTGTTTCTTGGTGTATTCAGTTTCGTATGTTTGGATGTCTGTTGGTTTGATTGCGTTGTGTATTTTGTTTTTTTTTTCGAGTATTTCGTTTCGTATGTTTGGATGGCTGTGTGTTTCAGTGCCTTGTGTATATTGTTTTTGTTTCTTGGTGTATTCAGTTTTGTATGTTTGGATGGCTGTGTGTTTCATTGCCTTGTGTATATTGTTTTTGTTTGTTGGTGTACAGTTTCGTATGTTTGATGTCTGTTGGTTTTACTGCCTTGTGTATTTTGTTTTTTGTGTGTTTATTTCGTTTAGCGTTGTTGTTGTTCATTTTGTTTTGCTATTGCTATAATAATGATATAATCGGGAAAATTAAATAGGTACATAAATTTAAATTTTATAAAATTTATATTTTTTAAATACACTATGGTGAAGGGTTTATAAGATTCGGCACAGCCGAATATAGCACTCTTACTTGTTAGAACTCATTTTCTATCCGAATTTGTATTAGCTATTTGATGAAAATGTTCTTAATACATAATTCCATAAGCTTTTCAATGATATATAAAACTTTATGATTTCGTGGGATTATAGAAGAAATATATCCATACAAACGGGGCCATCCTAATATAGATATATACAATACTTTGTCTAAAACTTATTTCTTTGTTTATTTCTTTAAATTGAACAAAAATACGAAAATTTAAAAACTTATAAAATAATTTTTTATAAGAGGGAAAAACAAACAGCTATAAAATTCTTTTTACTTCTAAATTAAATAATTTAATAATAAAAAAAAAATAACTGTATGTGTGTGTTCTTATAGCAATTACCTTTGAAGTTGTGTGGTATGACTCTTTTGCAATTTATTACGCAAACTGCATTGCTGAGGTTGTTCGGAACGTGACATTGAAACTTCTAAGGATTTGCGTTTAACAATATCATCCAAATTGCTGTGTAGATTTATGAAATTCTGCTTATTCTTCATGGCAATCTCATTGGGTTCTAGAGAAATTATAGTTTAAAAATTAAATATATAAAAAATAATGAACATTTAATAAATGCTATCCAAGAAAACACTCACCATAAAAACTTTCATCTGAATATAAAACACTACCCTCAAATGCAATTGTATAATTATCCTTATTGGCTTTACATGTCAATATTATATCACCCTCATCTGGGTAAGCATCCATATCTAAGGAATCCACTGAAATATGTGATTCTTTAACGGGTGAAAAGAGCAATTCCGATTTACAGAAGGAATTATCTATTAGATCATTTGTTGATGTTGTTGATGTTTGAGACATGTTGTGAGCCATCTGATGTTGACAATTGTTAGAGGGTAGCATGTGTTGTTGTTGCAACATTAATGACTGTTGCAAACGATTACCTCCCAGGCTTTTACAATACGAGGGTAATTGTGAGAGTAATGAGTGTATATCTTCGGCCCGAAAACTTTCCATATCGACTTCGGCCAAATTGGCATCGAGATTTTTAGCTAAATCCTCATAGATCAAATCGCCCAATCCATTGTAGGAAGCCGAAAGTGAGGATAAAACACTGCGTTGCATACCGCCGCAACCATCTCGATAACCATAGTCCAAAAACCACTGATAATCAGAATTGTCATGAGTAAAATCGTGAGATGAAGCGAGAGAACAATTTAAATTGTTGCCCATATAACCAACACCACAAGCATTATTCAATACACCACCACCACTATTAACACCACCACCACCCGTAGTTGTGTTTGAAAAACCTACCAAATGTTGATGTGGCTGTTGTTGATTATGTGGCAACATATTGCCGCTGGACTCATAAGGCAACATGTTGCTGCGTGATCCAGGCGTTGTTGCATTGCTGTTGTAATCGGATTCTGGCGTTATAGCTGTAGCCATTGTGGATAGTTGATGTTGATGTTGCAAATTAACACTATTGTTGTTGCCACCAGTAAAGAAATTCAAATCACTTTCGTCGTAAAACACACTACTGTTGGTATTGACCTGTTCATTCAAAATAATACTGCGCAGAGCGTTATTGTAACGATCCAAATTATTCAGAACAATGGCCACATTTTGTTTTAAACTCTCTTCGCTCAGTTCACTCTCATCAGAGGCGTCTTTGCTTTGCAACAGTTGTTGTTGCTGTTGTTGCAATAGCTGCTGTTGTGAGAGCAAATCATTCAAATGTTGCTGATACTGAGTGTGTGTTAAAAACGGTAATTTACCGCTATTGCGCCTCTGTTGTTGCAACAGCTGCTGTTGTTGGTGTTGCTGATTCCCACCGCCGCCACAGTATGCGAATGGTGAATTATTTGGCGAATTAAAGGGCTTACGATAGTGATGATGCGTAGGGGAATGTGTTACTGACGATCCATTCGACGATGGAGTGCGTGCAGCATTTGCAGAAGAATTATTATAAGGAAGTGTTTGTTGGTTATTCTTGTTATTGTTAATAAGTTGTTGTTTTAGTGTTTGTGTAAATTGTTGCTTATTAAATTGTGCATTAGATGATTGTGTATTTGTGTTATGAATGGGATAATTATTGGTTAAGGATGTAAGATGTTGTGTTGTTGTGATATTTGATGATGATGATGGATTAGAAGTAGGATATGGTGTGAAATGATGGCGTGGTGAATTTTGAAGCGGTTGAGATGATAAATGAGTTTTATTGTTGATGTCGTTGTTTGTAGAGAATTCTGTCATGCCACGACAGGATTTTTGTCCTGTAATGATAAGAAGGTAATAAAATGTTGTTTAGTAAACTATAGTTTCAAACTATTTTTTGCAGTAAATTTGTTCACAGTAATTAGGGGTAAGTTTGCGCCAAAGTTACAAAAATTCTTTGCAACATTCAAAATGTTTATAAACATGTTTGCAACAACATTATTATATCAGATTATTTTGTATCAATTGTTAAATTATGTATTTAAAATGTTGATAAATATTTGGATATTAAACTTTCCTAAATACCTCCGAAATATTTTCTCTTATTTCCATATAAAGTATTTATAATTTTTATTACACTTAAATTAATGAACTTGATTTTTATTATCGAAATTAATAATGTAACACATAAATTTCGGTTAAAAATAATCCTAATTTTATGATTTTTTCTAAACATTTCAATTATTCAAAATGATTTTTGTTTCAGAGGTAAATCATTTAAAAAATAAATATAAAATTACTTAAAATACCAATATAAAAATTATGTGGAATTAAAAATTCTTGGGATTTTTTGTCCTAAACACTAAATAACCATGTATGTATTTCAACAACTATTTAAAGTAGTTTTTGTGATAAAAATTAAGGAAACTCAATTAAATTTTATGACTTTTACTTTTAAAAAATCGTAAAAAATTTTATGATTAAAGTAAATAATAGAGAGAGAGTGATCACATTGTCATCATCATAGAAGATCGTCAGCAATAAATTTTATGAAAATGTAGAAAATATTTAAAACAAAAAAAGTAACACAATAGAGGTGTGGATAGAAATTTAAAAGAAAAAAATTTAGAGCATTTAGCATGAATAGAAGTTTTAAGTAATGTAGATTTTTTTTTAAACACCGACAACTATTAATTTTATGATTTGTCTTAAGAGTGACAAATTTTCTTGGTAAAAAAAATGAAAATTGAAATTAATTATTAAACAAGAGTAAAAGATACATGTCAATAGTTTTTCAAATAATTTAATTGAAATATTAGTTTATGCTTTATAAAATAAGATAAATTGTTAAGTTATTTGTTGTTCTAACCCCAAATAGGTTTCCCCCATTATGAAAATCTTTAACGATTTCAATCTGTTGATCTCTCCCCTTTTTTTGTCTAACAACTAATCTTCTTAGTCAGTTGGGGATTGTTTGCTTTCTTTAAACTATCAATAGCAAGTGTTTTTATAATTAACTTGGAAGTTTTAGATTATGTGTTTAATATACTCCAGTTTCTAAAGTTTGTTGTATTTCAAAAAACAAGTGTGTGGTAAAAACTTGGTTTTGTAAATATTAGAATGAGAATATTTTTAAGGGGGAAAGTATATTTATATAGTTTTTACAAACATGTTAGTTGACAAGTGTTAATTATCAAGTGTTGCTTTTAAATAGAGCAAATAGTAAAAAATAGAAATGGAAAAAAATATTTAAAAGGGGAGGGGGCTTGTTTTGTTTGTAAGATGTTGCACATATGTTTTATATAAATTTTTATAATAAATTACAAATATTATTAGTATCATTATTTATAACAAAGACAAGTAAGGCAAATAGTTCACGGGAAATATAAAAACCCAGCAAAAACTCGGTAATGACTTGTACTTATATAACCACTTACATTTCAGTGACTACTAAATACCGTTTGTATTACTTTTAAGTATACTCTTATTATGACTCTTATAATGACATATAATCAGATATGTAAGTACTTTATCATTTATTTTATAACTAAGCAGTGGTGTTGTGAGTAAGAGAACGAACAAGAAACCCGCTTTCGTATTCTAAGTACTTATTTAAGTAGTGATTTGAAGGCGAGCGTAAGTTCTTGCATTCAAGTTAAATTTAAGTCATTACTTTTCAATATAAGTTTTTGTTGGGAAAGTCTAAGTGAATCATTTGTTTAGTGGTAAATATTACAGTTTATCAATCAAAATATAAAAATTGATAAAAAATAGTTAAAATACTGAAAACGTTAGTGTGTAATCAGTAGGAAAATAAAATTGTTATTAAATCAGCTTTAAAAAAATTATATATGTATAATAACCTTTGCAACATGTTGTGAAACATTTGTTAAAAATGTGTCAAACTGTTCTGACAAATCCTTTTTAATGTTTTATAATGTAAACTTTTTTCATAATCAGCAACATGTTGTTAAGAATTTTTCCTATAATAAAAATAACAATTACTTCATTGTTTGTATAAAGCCAGAAAAGAAAAATCCCCACTTCAAATTGTTTGCACAAAAAAAAAACTTAAAAGAAAATATACTTAAATGTGAATTACTTTTATAAAAAATTATACATAATACTTGAAAAAGTGAAGCAAATCTTTATATAAATTGTTTACAATTAAATTTGTATAAAAGATGTCATAAGTCCCTCAAACACTTAGAAAATAACATTTATATACCCCATGAATTCTATATACATTTCTACTTATACGCAATTAAATAAAATTCAAGATAAGAGTAGAAGTAGAAATCAGCAATCGTGATACAAAAAAAATTTAAAGAAAGAACATTTAAGCAAAATGTCAAGCTTTAATAATGAAAAATAAATGTAGCGATGAAGGCATAAAAACTTGGGGTTGCATTCAAGTCAAAAAAAAAAAAAAATGTAAATTTGTAGACATTTGATTTCATTATAATAAAAATTCAAGAAATGCAATAATGTTATCGACCGAGGGGTGTTTCTTTATATGTATTATTGCAACATTCATTGACCGAACGGATGTATTGGTTGTCAACTTTTTCAAGTCATAATGGCTGACAAGAATTATAAATACTGAAATAAATATTTAATAGGGGAAAAATTACAGGTGTTAAAAGTTGAATTCAGATATATAAATCTAATTTTTAATAAGTAAATACAATAATAAAATAAATTTTGAAAAATGGACTAATAACTTTAAATTTTAAATAAATGATGGAACAAAGTTTTTCGGAAACATCCACAATTTGACCCTACAATTTCCGTTCTACCACAGCAAAAACTTGGTAATGACTTGTACTTATATAACGACTAGTGTCCGACCGAACGTTCGGGTACGGGTTCGGAGTTCGGTAAAAAGTGAGGTTCGGTCAATGTTCGATGTTCGGCGAAATTTTGACCGAACACCGAACGCCGAACTTTTTATAAAATGTTTTTTTATCATAATTTTATATAATCAAAAAGTTTTAAAAATGATGAAAATCTGTTTACAGAAGTTATCATACATCCTGGCTGTACAATAAATTTCGGATATACATAGGTACAAAACGCCTTTTTAACCGCTCGTTTTTTCGGCTGATTTGAAAAACTGTTAAGCAGAAACTGATTAAAAAGCTAAGAAAAATGAAACATTTAATTTTAATTATCTAGTTTCGATTATAAATCTTTGATTTCATTTGTAACATAACAAAATTTCATATAAATTGGCAAATTGAAATTTGCGAATTGTGTTAAGTATTGTATATATATTATTTATTTTTTTAAAAAAGTATTATTTTTCTTTTAAAAAAAGTTCGTGTTCACCGAACTTTGAAAACCGAACAAGTTCGGCCGAACTTTCAAATTTACCGAAGTTCGGGTTCGGTGTTCGGTACCGAACGAAATTTTGAGTTCGGTCGGACTCTAATAACGACTTACTTTTCAATAGCTACACGGTATGTAGTTATTAATTACTGTTAAGTACGCTTATAATGACTTACATATAATCAGATACGTAATTACTTGAGTTTTGTGATTGTAAGCAAGCGAGGTAAGTACTTGCCTCTAATCTCATCTAAACTCAACATTTTTTCGATTCTTTTTTGCCTTTGTTTGAATTCAATATGAGAGACAATTGTCCAAATAGTAAACAACTGTGTTTAAAAGTAAAGAAATGTGACCCATAACAGAATAACGGTACTACATTTTTTCAAAAGTTCAACATGAACTCGAAAAAGTTGCATTAGTACATTTTTGATGTTTGGCGTTCAGCTGTGCCATTTAAAACATAAAGTCTTGGATTTATTTTACGATATAATATCAATGGAAAGTAAAAAGAAATTCTGAAAAAAACACTAAAATATTAGCAAAAGCAACAAATTTTACTTCGGAAAAAAATATTTATTATTTATGAGCAAAAAGTTACAAGTTTTACCCGTTTTTCCCCTTTTGTCCCATTCTGGGTCATGTTACGAAAAAAGAGCCATTGATGTTTCGTACTGTAGATCTATCCAGTTTTTAAAATTGGTGTGGTTGTAACATGTACTGCCGTATTTGGAACGTGCACGAAAGGTGCAAAAGGTACCAACAATACAAATATTTTTCCGTTTTTACCCCCTGTGTTTTATAAGTTTCTAAAGATTAATATTTAATTTATATTATTTTAAGTAATTTTTAACTCATATTTAAAATTTTGACTGCATAAATATCTTTTTTACAAATGAATCAATAATTTCATAATTTCAAAATTCGGAGTTTAGTCCTCCCAAAATTGCAAAATCTGACACTGTACACCGTGTTAAAATGAGAATAAGTAGTGAAAGCGGCTTTTCAATTCATTACTTTTCAATGTAAGATTTGCTGGGATTCTATTAAAAAAAAAAAAACCTATTATTAGTGAGTTTGAATGGAGTAAGTATGTTACATCACATCCGAAGAAATATATATATTAATATTTAACAAACTCTCTGGTGGGAATTAAACCTATGACCTCCGGTTTTATAGACAAGAACACTGCTATTAAATTTTGTTTATAAAAGTTTATTATTTCTGAAAGCAAATATTTAAACATATTTTTTTTTTTAAATTGAAATTTAATTTAATTCCTATAAGAAATGCCCTGGTTTTTTCAATATGTATTTTATTATTTCATCTGGTGTTGGCAAATATTTATACAAGTGATAAATTGTTTATATTTTTTAAAGAATTAATTTCTCATTTTCTCTCTTATTTGTTTAAAAAAAGTGTTTTCAATTCTAAAAAAAAAACAACCAAAAAATAAGGAGGTTAATAAACGAGAAAATATAATATATATGTTTTTAAATATAAATAGAAGATTAATAAATATAAAATGTGTACAAGAAAATACAATTTGGCCAGTAGTCAAAAAAATAACAATATGCATTAATGTACAATATTGAAAAGATTTGAAGGTGATATTTTTAAAAGAAGCAGGGTAAATTATAATTAGAAATATGGAAAAATATTACCAAAAAAAAAGGAAAATTACTAATACAAAAAATATGCAATTAAAAAGATTTTGCAAATTATTTTTGAATACTAAACAAAAATATAAAAAAATCCCACCTTTAAATAACATACGACCACCACCATTACTTAGATGTTGTAATTCGGGAGGCAGATTATTGTTATTGTTATTATTTAAAATATCATTTAGATTACGATTTTTATTATGAAACATAAAATTATCAACATGTTGCGGCTGTTGATGTTGCTGAGGCAATCTCATATTATACAAATGATGTTGCTGCTGCTGTTGTTGTTGCTGTAATCTTAATTGTTTCAAATATTGTTGATTACACGTTAAAGTAGCTGCTGTTGAGCTGGTGGGAGGTCTTTTAATTTCTACTCCCTGTTCACGTAGCTGTTGTTGCAAACGTTTTCTTTGCAACAATTGTTGATGCAACAATTGTAACTGTTGCTGTTGTAATTGTTGATAGTGACGCAATTGCTGCACTTGTTGAGGTGTTAAAGAATGATGTTGCTGATGCTGTTGTTGTTGTTGCTGTTGATAGTTTTCTTTAGATGATGAGGAAGCTGAACTATCACAGCCTGAACTAGTGCTGCTAGAATTTGAATTTGTTTTATTAGCATTTTGTTGCTGCCATCGTTTTTGTGACATGATGCTAGTATGGTTGTTGTTGTTGTTGTTATTCTGGTTATTAGTATTATTATTGTTGTTAATACAGCGTTTACTCTGCATTTTGGAAATGTCAGCGAATTTCATTAAAAATGCTAAGATTATTAAGAACATTTAGTTTTTAGCTCAACAATCTTTTAGTTGAATATTTTTATTTAAATTATTGTTTATGAAGTTATAGATTTTTGTTTGTTTGACTATTTCCAAAACATTTTGTTTCTGATTGTATTGTTGCTAGTCAATGTTGGGCAACAATGTTGCTGGTGTATTGGTTTTATTTTCAGTTTTTTGTTGTTTATTTTTAGTATTATTTTTAATATTATATATCAATATGTTTTTTCCATACTTTTGAAGACCAATGCAAAGTTTTGTTTTTATCTCTTTAGGTTTATTTTGTTGGTTTTGAACGCGGGAAGACTTTTTTTTAATTATTTTGTTGCTATGCACTTTTTAGTGGTATTTTTAGGATTTGTGTTTTTATTTTTATAGATTTTTTTTATTCATTGAATGTTTTTATTGTTTTGTTTGTTTCTTTTTTGTTCAGTCTTTGATTAATTTTATGTTTTCTATTATTGAGTGTTTTAAACACTTTTCTTTATGTAGTTTCTTAAAAATTCTGCATATATGGAATTAAAACAAAAGAAATAAATACTTGATACCACAACCGAGCTATAAAAGAAATGCATGCTAAATGATACTTTTGAGTTTTCTTTAGTCATTTGAGAAAAAAAATTGTATTAAAAATAGTTTTACATAAGTCTTTTGTAAGCTTTTTTGGGATTTAAAAGAATATGATATTTTTTTTATAGATTGCAGCGAATGCTTAATAAAAAACGGCCAGAAATTGCATTAAATATGTAAAAGAATCGTTTGAATTTGAACAATCCTACATAGCAAAAACCACTATTTCGACATGAGAGATACGATATCTATAGCAATCAAACTAAAATATTTCAGTTCGAGAGACTCTAATAAACTTAGAGCAAAACTCAAATGTGTAAAGAAATCTATATATATAAAAGAGTAGCGTTACTGACTGATTGATTCATCATCGCACAGTCCAAACGGCTGAACCTAGAATTATGAAATTTTGACAGTAGATGTGTTTTTGGTTATGTAGACCCATAAGAAAGCATTTTTGGAAATTTGTACATTTAGGGTTAAAAGAAGTAAAAAAATGGGTAAAACAGGTTTTCTTAATTATCTTATCTAATATTAGTGATACGAAAAAAAATTGAAATGCACCTCTATCTACTCTTAAAATAAGCAGATGGGTGTCTGCTACTTTTTTGAAATTTGTACTTTTAAGGGATGAAAATGTGTAACAAAGGTGATTTTGGTACCTTTTTTGGACCTTTAAAACTTTTTAACTAATAAACAAAATAATATATTTGTAAATATTTTGGATATATCTACCAAAATTAGGAGACACCTGTTTCGTACTTTTTTGAAATTCAGTTCTTTTTGAGTGTAAAAGGGAGAAAACTGTATTTTTGGTACTTTTTTAGCACATTAAGAAAACTTTTTCGATTTATTGAAGTATTTCTATTAAATTACGGACAAACTCTGTAATATTTGTTGAAACAAAATGTTTGCTATTTCACTGGGGAAAAAAGTACCAAAAAGGGGAAAAACGGGAAATTTAATTTTATTCAAACTTATTGAGCCAATTTTTATAAAATTTGAAAAAGTATTTTATTTACTCACACAAAATAGCTATTGGTATATTATTTTGGAATTCGAGTACTAAGGCCAATATAGAACCAAATTCGAGTAAATTGTTTGGTACTTTTTGAAAGCACAATTTTTCTGGAACAAATGAAAGTGGATTTGAATCGTTTGAGTTTTATCTGTGATATAGAGATTTAAACACGGAATATTTTGTAAACTTAATTCCAAAAAAAAGAATATTTCTAAGCGGAAAGTGGAAAAATTGTACTATTTTTATTAGTACTTTCCACTAAGATAGAATTTATTCCACTTTTGGTACTTTCTCTTTCTTCAAATGATACTCTTTGTATGTTCTATAATATGAATTCAAAGCACATGATAATTAAACATAGACGGTCCTCATTGAATAAGATTCTTTAAGAGAGAACTTTTTAGTACTTTTTATATCATAAATGGTACTTTTTGAATTTTCTAAAATATTCAACCTAGGAACATAAATTTTAACATAAATGGTCTTGACTGAATAATATTCTGTAAGTGGAAACTGTTTGGTACTTTTCCATTCTCAAATGATACCTTTTGGATTATCTATATTGGTTAACCGAAACACATGACACACGGTCCTTGTTAAACGAGAATTTATTGAGAGAGATTTTTGTACTTTTTCGTTTTTCCGATGGTACTTTTTGATATTGAACATAAAAATATAAAATTTAAAATGTAGGGACCTTAGTGAATGATAATCTACTGAAAGGGACTTTTGGTACTTTTTCATTCATCAAATTATATATTTTGAATTGTATATAACATTGAACACAGAAAAATAAAATTTTTGATTAAATGAGAATCTATAAGAGGTATTTTATAGTACTTTTTTCAAATAGTACTTTCGAAATTTTCTATAATGTGAAAGCTAAACGAATGAAACTAAAAATACAAACTCTTACTGAATGCGAATTTATTAACGTGATATTGAACGTAAAAAATGAAATATTAAAAAAATGTTATCAATTTTAATTTTCTATAAAAGTAAACAAAATTTTATATGTATTTAATTTTGTTTAGGGTAGCGAAGCACCCAGGGTATGCTAGTTAAACATAAACAAGTAAGAGTGTTATATTCGACTATGCTGAATCTTATATACCCACCATCAAACCGTATGCCGTAAATGGAATAGTCCCGTATAAACATTAGGTTGATATTTGAAATTAAATTCTAGATCGTCTTAGAATTTAATAAGGACCCAGAATATATATACATTTGTAGTTCTTTGATCAATATTTCGATGTGTTACAAACGGAAAGACAAAAGCAAAAATGATCCTTCGAACTACAAACTATTTTAAAGTTACTTATTACACAAAAAAACAAACATATAAATCCTAAATAATAAAACGAAGGACCATATATTTAAGTCATTATAAATCATTTAGCTAATCCCTTTTCCTTCAAAAAATATATATTATTTCAATTAACCAAGTTTTTCTCATAAATATTAGTAATTTTTTTAATCACAAACACTTTGAAGTGTTAGACATTAAGGAAGACCTTTTAAGTTTCATTAAATCATCAACTCTAATTATAATGCTTGGAAAAATAAAAACAAAAAGTTAATTTTAGTTTGAAAAAAAAAACATTTAAATTTTGTGGAAAATTTATGGCTTTTATATTTGATTTTCAAGTCTTCAAGTCAAGTACCGAACTTTTCATGCAAAATTTATGAGAATTTTTGCAATTTTTATATAGATTTTTTTTCTAGTTTTGCTTTCCTTAAGCAAATGTAAAACAATTTGGAGCACAGCAAACTAACATTTCCTGTTTGGCGTGTGGTTGGCTGTATTTTTTTGCTTTTTTGAAGTCTAGTATTAAATTTAACCTTTTCGTTAGTTGTTCTCAAACATAAACAAAGTGAAAAGTGTAGTTTTTAGCGTATTTAGCGCATATAATAAATTTTAAAATTAAAAAAAAAAACTAAATAAAAAACAAGAACAACATTACACAACTCTTAAAAAAAAAGAATTTTTTCGTTTTGTAAGGTAATTTATGGTATCGAGATACTCAAAGGTTGGGCCATGGTAATTATTTCTAAAAACACGCCAAATAAAAATTTAACATGAAAATAACAGAATGACAAAACGACTGACAGACAGACTAGCAGAAAATTAGTAGATTACAGAAAATAATCCAACAAAATTTTAATTTGTTTATAAACAAATCATTTAATTTTCCCAGAAATATTTATATAATTTAAAAAAAATTGCCAAAAAAATGTAGAGCAATCTAATAAATATTTCTTTTTAAAAAATTAAAAAAAATTTTTTATACATTTCGCGTGCACAGTAAATAAATTTGAAAAAAATATATATATTTTCTCTATTTAGTTTTAGTTCAAGTTTATCATTTGTGTCTTTGTCAGACACAAGTCTAAAAAGAAAAAACATTTTTATTTGATTTTATTTCTTTAGAAAATTTTAAGATTTTTTTCTGAAAATCAAATTGAGAACAAACATTGTCATCTCGAAAAATGTGTTCGGGGTTTGCGATTTGTTTGTTTTTTTCTTTATATTTTGCTTGTGTTTTTAGATTAAAAAAAAATCATTTTTCTCATATGTGTATCTTAAAGGCAGGTGTTGTTCTTAATAGAAAATCAAACATATACTTATTGTTTATATATAAATATAGATACTTTATTAAAAATGCTTTAGGAAAAATTCTTAAAATATGAGATCATTTTCCTAAGCACTGCAAAAATGATTTATTTAGACAGTTTTGAAATTCTTAAGAAAAGCAATAAGCAAATAAAGTGTTTAAGTTTTAGTTATAAAAGTAAAATATTTTTAAAAAACTTTAAAAATACTTATAAAAATGATTTGTTATCATTTCCTTCGTTTTAACAGGAAATTTTTAAATCTTTTGAAAATTTGAATATTTATTTACTTGTTGTTTTGAAATTTTGTTGTAAATTAAGAAACACCAATAACATGTTTTTATTTAATGTTTATTTGAAGTAAACAAAATAATAAATTTGAATTATAAATAAAACTGACCGCCAGTGTGGCGAGGCTGTGATAAACCCGCCATGTTTGCGTGTAATATTTTTTGAATGCATTTTATTATTTAGTTAATTTACATAAATTCAATCAACATTATTATTTATTTAAAATCTAAAAATAAAAATTTTATAATAAAAAATAAATTTTATAATAAGATTTGTTAATTTATTAATTGATTAAAATCAAACATTAGGTTCGAAGGACCATTTTAGCTCCAAGACCAATAAACGCTCTATTAGATTTGGAAGTACTTTAGAGGGTATTTAAAAAGAATACACAGAGGAAAAAAATATACCTGCCTGTTACCAAATTAACACCAAATTTTTTAATAACATCCATTGTCAAGTATATACATACACACAACAACAACATGTAATATAGACCACGCAACTTTGTCAACATTGCAACAATTCGTTGTCGCAATCTAAACTTTATGCACATCCGTTGTCTATAAGTTAACAAACATGGTAAGCTCAAAATGCGTTGTAAATAGTGAGCTTACCACGTTTGTTAACATTTAAACAACGGGTGTGCATAAAGTTTACATTGCGACAACGAATTTTTGCAATGTTGAAAAAGTTGCGTGCTTTACATTGTATGTTGTTGTTGTATGTATGTATGTATATACTTGACAATAGATGTTATTGAAAAATTTGGTGTCAATTTGGTAACAGGCGTGTATATTTTTTTTCCTCAGTGTAGGGGAAACGTTTCTAATAGAACGGTTTTTGTTCCCTAAGCGTAAGGTTCGAAGGACCATATTAATAAGAGCACTGAACGTGTTTATTGTTTATCTAAATTAGAGTATTTCATACTCAATCTTCTAACAAAGAATGGTTTTTACATTATCCATTTTCTCTCAAGAAACTAAATTTTAAAAACAACAAACCCC